TGCGATCTGCAAGCATATGCCATAAGGGATCTGCAAGCATATGCCATATGCGATCTGCAAGCATATGCGATCTGCAAGCATATGCCATATGCAGCGATATGCGATATGCGATATGCAATATGCAATATGTTATGTATATGCGCATGCATGCATATGCCATATGCGATCTGCAAGCATATGGGATCTACAAGCCTATGCCATTATGCGATCTGCAAGCATATGCCATTATGCGATCTGCAAGCATATGCCATTATGCGATCTGCAAGCCTATGCCATTATGCGATCTGCAAGCCTATGCCATTATGCGATCTGCAAGCCTATGCCATTATGCGATCTGCAAGCCTATGCCATTATGCGATCTGCAAGCATATGCCATTATGCGATCTGCAAGCATATGCCATTATGCGATCTGCAAGCATACGCCATTATGTGATCTGCAAGCATATGCCATTATGCGATCTGCAAGCATATGCCATTATGCGATCTGCAAGCATATGCGATCTGCAAGCATATGCAATCTGCAAACATATGCGATCTGCAAGCATATGCGATCTGCAAGCATATGCCATATGTGATCTGCAAGCATACGCGATCTGCAAGCATATGCCATATGCGATCTGCAAGCATATGCCGTATGCAATCTGCAAGCACATGCGATCTGCAAGCATATGCAATCTGCAAGCATATGCCATATGCGATCTGCAAGCATATGTGATCTGCAAGCATACGTGATCTGCAAGCATATGCCATATGCGATCTGCAAGCATACGCCATATGCGATCTGCAAGCATATGCCATATGCGATCTGCAAGCATATGCCATTATGCGATCTGCAAGCATATGCCATCATGCCATCTGCAAGCATATGCCATTATGCGATCTGCAAGCATATCCCATTATGCGATCTGCAAGCATATGCCATTATGCGATCTGCAAGCATATGCAATTATGCGATCTGCAAGCATATGCCATTATGCGATCTGCAAGCATATGCCATTATGCGATCTGCAAGCATATGCCATTATGCGATCTGCAAGCATATGCCATTATGCGATCTGCAAGCATATGCCATTATGCGATCTGCAAGCATATGCCATTATGCGATCTGCAAGCATATGCGATCTGCAAGCATATGCCATTACGCGATCTGCAAGCATATGCCATATGCGATCTGCAAGCATATACCATATGCGATCTGCAAGCATATGCCATATGCGATCTGCAAGCATATGCGATCTGCAAGCATATATGATCTGCAAGCATATGCGATCTGCAAGCATATGCGATCTGCAAGCATATGCCATCTGTGATCTGCAAGCATATGCAATCTGCAAGCATATGCGATCTGCAAGCATATGCCATAAGCGATCTGCAAGCATATGCCATATGCGATCTGCAAGCATATGCGATCTGCAAGCATATGCCATATGCAGCGATATGCGATATGCGATATGCAATATGTTATGTATATGCGCATGCATGCATATGCCATATGCGATCTGCAAGCATATGGGATCTACAAGCCTATGCCATTATGCGATCTGCAAGAATATGCCATTATGCGATCTGCAAGCATATGCCATTATGCGATCTGCAAGCCTATGCCATTATGCGATCTGCAAGCCTATGCCATTATGCGATCTGCAAGCCTATGCCATTATGCGATCTGCAAGCCTATGCCATTATGCGATCTGCAAGCATATGCCATTATGCGATCTGCAAGCATATGCCATTATGCGATCTGCAAGCATACGCCATTATGTGATCTGCAAGCATATGCCATTATGCAATCTGCAAGCATATGCCATTATGCGATCTGCAAGCATATGCGATCTGCAAGCATATGCAATCTGCAAACATATGCGATCTGCAAGCATATGCGATCTGCAAGCATATGCCATATGTGATCTGCAAGCATACGCGATCTGCAAGCATATGCCATATGCGATCTGCAAGCATATGCCGTATGCAA